AGATTCATTAGATTATTTAACCTAATTACCTTCTTATTTGGACATGCTGCATTAATGAAATTTTAGGTTAAATGAACTTGGCTCGTCCAAAACCCCAATTTGAGGTCACGATGTAAAGCCTATGGCCTCACCTCACATCGTTGTACGGGGTAAAGGTAGAGAAAGTATTTTTTTTTCCTTTTTAAGGTTTCGTGCATATTTGATGGAACTGGACTGTTAATTTGGGTCGCCCTTTTTGGGCTTTATAGTCAACTTATTCTGTTTATGTAGAGTGGGGCTCGGGGCAACATGGTCCATATCAAATACAAAGTGTTCAACTCGATGAAAAGCGAAATCGAAATCGAAGCCAGTCTTTGTATAATGTGCCATATGTGAAACTACTAATTAATTAATACTTGAGTGTATTTTCTGATTAGTGCTCAATTATATGAAAAACACGCTAGAGTATTATCTATATTCTCGACCAATTTAATTAAGATAAAGAGATAGTGTTTAAGATCATAATTAAATTTTGACAACTTAAAAATAGCCATTACATTATTTTAATCTTGAGGTCACGTAAATGTTGAGATAATCGAGTCCACAACTAACCAAAATATATTAATACAAAAATTATAAATGCTTCTAATTATGAAACATAAACTTTAATTATTACAAACAATGTCGGCTCTAGTGGCGGACTAGGAATATAGTTCATTCATCTGATTTAATTTTGAACACCGACCATGTGGAATTAATTTAATTTACTGAATTATTTTAAAATTCTTGTGCAATTTTCGACATTTAACACATAAAATGAGTGTAAATCTATGGAAATAAGATCTATCATAAAATGTTCATTGTAAAGGTAATAAACTAAGAAAAATAATCTAACTACTTTACTCAAATCATTATATGATTCGGGGAACTTGTCCAAGGGCAAAGAAAACATTTTGTTACAAGGGGAAAGTGATTAATATAGAAATACAATTAGGTGCATGGAGTTTGAGGGTCTATTCGCCTAAGTTTATTTTAAACAGCTGATAAGCTCTTATATATAATTAGCTGTTTAAGGTGGTGTTTGCAAAAGCTTTTAAAAATAGATTATGCGCTTTTTTTATCACATAATTTGTTTTTAAGTGTTTGCGAAACCATCTTTTGCATTGCTTCTCTTAAAATAAGCTGGTTTAAGTTATAATTTTAAAAGCACCCATGTACCTGCTTTTTCTATTTTAGTTAATTTTCCAGATTTTTTGCTAACACCCCTAACTTTTAGAATTAATCACTTAATATCAACTTAACTCACAATCAATAACTTATGCTTTTAAATACACTTTTGCAAACACCACCTAAGAGCTGATAAGTTGTTATGTCCTAATTTTAAAATTATTTTGTAAAGTGTTTGGATAATGATCTTATAAACTATTTTTACTTATTATAAAATCTTAAATAAAAATGTGGGCATCTTCCACCCTACACCATTTCCTATTTTTTACACCTAATTTAGGTGTTTTTAACCTCCCAGTCTAAATCACTAAATCGTCATTACACCTAAAATTATGATGATTTGGTTTTAGTCTCCCATTGTGGTCAAAACCTATATCACCATATTACCAAATCCTATATTTTCACCAAATTTTTTTGTGAAGAAATTTGCATCTCCCACCCTTCCACCATTTTACCATTTTTTCCACCAAATCCTATTTTTCATATCAAATATAGAAATTAAAATAGGATTT